TATATATATATATATATATGTGTATATATATATATATATATATATGTATATATAATGTTGGGACCAGCAAGTTGATTTCACTGTGTTTTAATGGATCAGGTTCTCACATTATAAAAACCATTAGGGTCATTGTCCAGGTTTTGGAGTCAGAGGGACCCAGGTTTGAATCCTGGTTTGGACAACTGGAAGCTGTATAAACTTAGTTAGGCAAATCATTCCCACTCTATCACAGAAGACTGAGTTTCTTGATTTGTAAAATGGGGATGTCATAGAGCCTGCTTCAAGGGGTGACTGTGAGGATTAAATGGGATAAAAAAAAAAAAGAGCTCAGTTCTGAAGTCAGAATTCTTGGGATAATATTCCATTCTACCATTTAGCGGTGATGTGATCTTGGTCAAGATGCTTATCTTCTGTGTTTCAGTGCCCTTATTTATAAAACAGAAATACTAATTGTTCTCTTCAATGCATGTGAAACATTTACAGAACTGGGCATAGAGTATGCACTCAATAAATGTTAGTGTTTATTATTATCTATTCCAAATGTGACAGCAGTAAATTATGTATAATATAAACTGATTGGCAAAACTGCCAAACATAGTAAAAAAGTCCTTGCAATGACACCAATAGCTTATTGAATTCTTACTATGTTCCAAACATTGTTCTTAGATCTAAACAGTAATTATTTAATTACGACATCTCAACCATTTTAATATTATTCTCAGTTTACAGACAAGAGAATTAAGGAACAGATAATGTACTTGCCTATGATGGCAGAATTCATGGAATGGAGTGCAATCCAGGCCCACTTTCAGAGTTCATAGTTCCTCTTTCTTCCCTATCAAAAAATAAATATAAAATTAAAAAATTGGCTTTCATAGGTGACAGCATTGTTAAAGCACTACATGTTTTAAAAATGTATTAGCTCCACTCCTGATTAATGCATTTATTCAATTAGTAAACTATTTTCTGGTTAAAATTTTCTTGTAAGTTTTTAATTAAATAAAATAAGACAGCTTCACAGAATAACACACTGGTCAGGTAGGAAGAAGTCTTCAGAGCACCTAATTTAAACTTCCATTCTATCACTATGGAAACATCCAGAATGGTGCCACAATTTTGTCCTAGATGACATAGTTAGTCAACGGCTGGCAGGTTTCAGGATTCTGTAAAGAATTCTTTTCAGGCCAGGCGCGGTGGCTCACGCCTGTAATCCCAGCACTTTGGGAGGCCGACGCGGATGGATCACGAGGTCAAGAGATCGAGACCATCCTGGTCAACATGGTGAAACCCCGTCTCTACTAAAACTACAAAAAATTAGCTGGGCATGGTGGCGCGTGCCTGTAATCCCAGCTACTCAGGAGGCTGAGGCAGGAGAATTGCCTGAACCTAGGAGGCGGAGGTTGCGGTGAGCCGAGATCGCCCTCCATCCAGCCTGGGTAACAAGAGTGAAACTCTGTCTCAAAAAAAAAAAAAAAAAAAAGAATTCTTTTCAGTGCATTATACTTAAATGGTATTTACGTGGATCATTTGTTGGCAATGCATTACCAAAATATCACCCACATATTTGAAAAATAATACAAGCCGTCATCACCATTATTATATAGTTCAATTATTTTCAGAGATGATGTTTAGATGGGCTGGGCGTCACTAACGAATCTGCATCAGAAAAATTTCTTCAAAAAAAGATTCTATTCAAATAAAGTCGTCTGCAATTTCTACCTCTCATTCTTCCAAGTATTAAATAGAACCGTTGAGAAGTTTTACATTGGGCACAAGGGGCGATTGCCATGACCGTCCCTTCCACATAAATGCCCAGTCTCACGCTCATCCCTAGCTTGGAGCTGAGGAAGAGAGGTGGGAAGAACAGAGCCGCCGGAGGCAGGGAGGGCGGGGCTGCGGGCGGCAGGGCCATTGGCCAGGAGCCTGAAGGGGCGAGACCACTAACCGCTTGCTTCCTATTGGACGGCGCGGCCTGTTTTGCGCATGTGCTGCCCGGTTCAAACCCGGCTCGCGCTGTTTCTGTTTGTTGAGGGCGTAGCCAATGGGCGGCCTGCGTTGTTAGCGCGCGCCTTCCGGACCGTCGGTCTCGTTGTCGTTGCCTTCAACTTAAAGGTGTTGCTTGGCCGCCGCCTCGTAGTCCAGTGACTAGTTTCTTGCTCGGCCTCCTGGAGCTGTGGCCCGTGTGGATTTCCACCTCAGACCTCTGCGCGAGCTCAGCGGGGCCGGAACATGGCTGCCTCGGGTCTGGTAAGGGCGGGCCCCGGCGCTACAGGCGAGCAGTTAAGCGCCTGGCTGGGGCAAGGGGCACAGGCGCCCGAGGCGTGGGAGAAGGAAACGCTGGGCTGGGGCTGTGGTCTCTGACGGATTTCAGTGGGAAAGCCGCAGGAATTTTTGAAATGAAGTGTGATCGTTTGTCGATAACCAGAGTTAATCTATTGTACTTGTATTATTTAAGTTTTCATGTCGTCATTTCGTCTATGCCGACGTCTTAGTTTTGAGAGGTGCTTGTGATTCCTGCCTTTTAGCCTAGCTGCAGTTCCTAGGCCTCCAAATACTTTGCTGCCCATAGTAGGAGTATTGAAACGCCTTAAAAATGTGCCTTTGCGTCACACTCGCTAGTTGGGGGGAGCAGATTATGTAACAACTATATCTGGAAATAATCTGACATTTCAGTTCTTTTGTCAAAGTGGTAACCTTATATGCAGTTCTTGTGGCTGATATTTATGGGGCATCAGTTATTGACAAAGTCTTCTGAAAGACATCTATTAGTTAAAAGGTGCAAGCTGTGAATGACTGATGGAGGCAGCAACTCATAGTTTGTGTTGGTGATTTACTTCTCTTTCAGAATCATCTCAAAAATGACTACAGAAGAAGATTTTGTCGACCTTCCAGGTGATTTATGTGCTTAAACTTTTAAGATTATTTTTATTACCATCTTTACGTAGTAGATTTTTAAATGAAGAAAGGAAAAACTATCGCCTCTGACTAAAATGATTTCTTTGCCCGCTTAAGAGTAGTCATCTTAGTTATTTTATGTTAACAGAGGAATGTTAATGCAAGCAGTGCAGTGACTTTGTGGCAGTGAAAAAAGAAATCCACCTGATACAATAGCGGAACCAGGGAGAGAAAGTCTCAATTCTGACTACGTGACTGCCATGGGAAAAGGATTTTGTAGCATGAATCAAATGGTAAAATTAGAAATATGTAGCTTATTCAGTGGGACAAAAAGAAAAATAATAATGCTGTCATGCGTTTATTTCTTGGGTGCTTATTTGGGTTGTGTTGGTCCTTTTAATTATAAAACCTGTTAAAAGTAAATTTTCTAGTTAAATATTTAATAGTAATAGGATGAAAAGCATGTTTTTAAAAGTGAAGATGTTATTGTGAATAACATCTTGTTTTTTGAGCTGTGATTTTAGTAGGTCCAGTGGGGCACAGAAATACTTTCTTTTCCTTACAAGAAGCTTTCATTTCTATTGGGAAAATGTACATTTATGAAATAATTTAATGGACAAAAATTTCCACTTTTAATACTGAAGTAATGACTTGTGTATTATAGAGAGTAGGCCTATATATAATTAGGAATTAACTTGCAGTATAGACAGCCATGTAAGAAATAAGGGATTTGTGTGTTGTTGATATTAAGGAAAGCTTTAAAGTTGTAGTGTAACTTAGGTGGATCTTGAATAGGGATTTAAAGACTAAGATAAAGTACATTGCAGACATAGAAAGTAACTTAAAAAAGGAACCAAAGTAGGAATACATTTATTTGTCAGTAGCAGAGAGACCTGATTTCAGAAGGTGAATATGTGGGGTGTTAGTGGAAAATGACCATATGAGTTGGATTGAGCCAGAAAATGGATATGTTAGACTTTAGGCATTTATTATAGGCTTGATTTTATAAGCTGTCCTAAATCTTCTGTGGAATAAGGGCTGTCTGATGTAAAAACACACACATGTAAAAAAGCAAAGAGGTTTGATGTTTACAAGGTAGCTTAAGAAAGGGGTTGTAGTAGCCTAGACATGATGTAGGTGCTTTTATGCTAAGGTAATGATGACAAGGCGGGAGAAAAGATGAATTTGATAAATTTTGAAAAAGCTGTTGTCTAGACTAATGTGACCTGTGTTTTAATAGTGACTGCATTATCACCTTTGACAAATCTATCTTTTTGGATCTCATCCATGAAATAGGTAATAGCAGGAGTGTGTTTATAGTTGGAAATATATGCACCTGTAGGTGGTATTCTGGGCTGGTGTCAAGGGCAGAATTTATAATAGTGACCTATATTTTGGTAGAAAGCCAGCCACTAACATAATTAAGTTTACAAACTGAGACCATTTGCCCAATTTGGATTTCAGTTTGCCTATCTGTAAAATGAGGGCACAAGATTCAGCTAGTGTTTTTTAACTAGATTCGCATATCAGAATTATCTCAATCACCCTAGAAAATCTGATTAAATTGGTCTGTGGGAAGTGACCAAATATGTGTATTTCTGCAAAGGTACAAAAGTAATTTTATGCATCTATTTGGATGATAATTATTAGACTGGATGATTTCTGAGATGTTTCAGTTATAAAAGTTTATGATGGATGACCTGATAATGCATTGTGGCTCACAATCTTTAATCACTTCATATATAGTATACGTTTCAAGAATAATAGGAATTCTGTAGATGAGGGATCAGTTAACTTTGGCTGATAGGCCAGTCAAATGTTTTGTCACAGGTTTTGTTTCAGTTTTATTGGAATACAGGCATGCCTCTTTATTTACATATTGTCTGTGGTTGCTTTCGGGTTAAAATGGGAGAATCGACTGGCTGTGACAGAGACCGTATAGGTTACAAGCCTAAAATGTTTACCGTCTGGCCTTTTAAGCAAAAGTTTGACAACCCTGTTAGAGATGCATGTCAAAATTTTATACTGATTGAAATCCAGATGTCCTTCAACAGGTAAATGGTTGAACACTGCGGTATACACATAGCGTGGAACACTACTTTTCTCTAAATAGCAAAGAAATATTGATACATTCAACTGCGATTGATCTCCATTGAATTGTGTTGAGGGAAAAAAGCCAGGGCAAAGAATACATACTATATGATTCTAGTTACTTTTAATTTTTTCCAAATGACACAATTTTAGAAATAGAGAACATATTAGTGGTTGCCAGAGGTTAGGAATGAGAGGAGGCATGAAAGAGGAGAGAGAAAGGTGGCTATGGTTATAAAAGGACAATAGAGGATCTTTGTGATGATGGAACTATTCAGTATCTTGACTCTGGTTGTTTTATATGAACGTGCAGATGTGATACGTTGTGTAGAAATAAATACACGTAAACATGAACATATTCAGAAATGAGAACATGTAGAACTGGAGAAATCAGAATAGCATTGGTAGATTGTATCAATATCAGCACCCTGGTTGTGATAATATGCTATAGTTTTGTAAACTGTCAGCACTGAGGAGCACTGGGTAAAGTGAACAAAGAATTTCTATTATTTTTTATAGCTGCATGTGAATCTAGAAGCTCAATATAATTTTTAATTAAAATTTATATTGATTCATAAATTGTTAATATTAATGATACTGAATCAAAAATGCATTTGAGAACTTATAGGGAGGAATATGTTACTTGGAGATGTAACTGTAAAGTCTGTTAAAAAAGCATTTCAGGACTGATTGGACGCATTCAAAAAAATTTGTGTTGAGATACAGCAGTAATCTAGAACAGCTTTAGACATGGCTTTAGTGATGGCTGTTCAACTAAGAAATGTAATTGTTAATGTAGATTATGATATACTAATTCTTATTAGGAAAGAAGGAGTTCATTAGAGGGAATTCATAGACCCTCAAGTAATTGTTTTATCTTCAGATAGTAAAGGTATTTTACATATTAAGTTAATTAATATTTTATAATGAGATCTGGAATTTTCAGGTAGATGGTAGTATAAAAAAATATCTTCTGAAAATGATTGGTTATATTTTCTCTTTCTTTATTAGGGCACGGGACATTAACACAGAGCAAGGCCAGAATGTTCTGGAAATCTTACAAGACTGTTTTGAAGAAAAAAGTAAGGCTTCATTTCAAGATGGAATTTGAGGATTAGGTGGATGAAAATATGAGTTTGTCATGGTAATTAACGTCAAATGCAGCAAATATGTTCTAGGGTTTAAATATACGTAAAGTATTTTCCCTAGAATTTTGAGTTCATGTGCAATGCTTTGTGTACCTTCTGGCATACTTAGGATAATACTGACAAAAATAACAATAATTTGACAATAATTTGTCATCACCTTTAGTTCATATTAGATTACTGTAATCTGGAAGTCCATATGTAATTACCATATACAAGAAAAAAATACTTATTTATGTTTTTGAGACATAGTCTTGTTCTGTCACACAGGCTGGTATGCGATGGTACTATCTCAACTCCCCGAAGCCTCTGCCTCCCAGGTTCAAGCAGATTCTATTGCCTCAGCCTTCCGAGTAGCTGGGATTATAGGTGTGTGCCACCACACCTGGCTAATTTTTATTTTTATTTTAGTAGCGACCAGGTTTCACCATGTTGGCCAGGCTGATATTAAACTCCTAGCCTCAAGTGACCTGCCCACTTCAGCCTCCCAAAGTTTTGGGATTATAGGTGTAAGCCACTGCACCCAGCCAGAAAAAATACTTCATATAATGAAAATAGATGTGTAGAATTCTTGAGATCGTTAGAGAATTTTGGATGATCTTTGGTGATATATATGCCTGTTTAAGGAAGTCATGAATTATAGCAAATACTTTTCCAAGTACTGATTAGCATCAGCAGGTATTGGAATAAGAGTAAGCTAGCCAAAGAAATAGGGGCAGATGATAGAAAAGAATGTTTTCTATACAAGTTCTGAACGAAGAGCTGGCATATATTGATACTTTAGGTGTTGTTTTTTTTTCTTCTTGATGCTTCTCAGGAACATTTGAATATTGAAGTAATGTCTCTACTTGACTTAAGCTAATTGTGGTCAGTGAGTCAACAGATGGTTCTTCACATGCCATATAACTATTTTTAATTGTAACTAATAGATATTACGTTATATCTTGTTTTTGAAAATTTTGTACTTTTGTTTTAGGTCTTGCCAATGATTTTAGTACAAATTCTATGAAATCAGCGCTTTATTCAACACCCAAAATAAAAGACACTTGTATTCAGTCACCAAGCAAAGAGGTAAGTGATAAAGGAGAGCTGGTATAGATTTAACATTTTAATGAATGAAGGTATGCACAATATTCTTATGTATATTTTAGTTGTTTGCAAGTCTTATTCTTGAAAGGGAATTCCGTATTCCCGTTGACTTTCTTTAGAATTTGGAGATATTTTGTGAAAAGTTTTATTTGATATTTTCTGTGTTGGAATTGAGGTTATGGGAATTAGAGTTATCAAATTATAACATACATTTTTCCCTTCTCCTAAAATAATACTCAAATTAGGTTTTTAGGAAAATGGGCAGGGATTGAAGTTGCTGTTCAGGTTGACAGGTTTGGTTATATTCTAAAAAATGAAGGTACTACCTTGCTGTAAAGGGAAATCAGTCTTCTGTTGATTATATATTTTAATCGTTTGCTGTTAGTTTGATCAGAAATAAAGTATTGGTCGACTTAACTATACTAAATAGCAGACTTTCAAATAAAGTATTTGAAGCTAATCTAAGGCAAATTGTTCAAAAGCACAGTACTAATTTGAGAAATCATATAGTGCTAGAAATAACATTTACTAGAAAACTGTAAAAGGCTGTCAACATATTAAACATATGCAGCCTTTTAGCTCCAAGGAATGAAGACAAAACCATTTCTTTCAGAATTGACTGAAACATGATAAATTACATTGGTTTTTGAAAGTTAAAGAAACTTTAGGTTTTCTGGGATAAACTTAACTTGGTCATAAAGTGTTAACTTTTTTGATTAGGTTTGCCTAATATTGAAGATGTTTGCTTCTATGTTTATGAACAATACTGTCTTTTTTTCTTAAAATGTTCTTACAGGGCTTTGGTATCAAGGTTATGCTAGAGGTTCTTCTAGATAGGACGAAATAAGTCACAGAAGGCTAACACTCCTGCTAAAGCAACTATTTTAAAAAATGCAAACTGATTTTATTTTTAGAGATCTGAGGAGCTGTGGAAACATTAAAGACTAGCAAAATATAGCCTGTAGCTAATTTTCTTCCCTTCTGAGGCAAAATTCTTCTTTACTCTACTGTGTTCTGTTCCTTATGTAGGTTTTCCACTCTGGCTGGTAGGTACAGGCATTATTTTAGGTCCTGTGTGACTGGGAGGATATTCCCCCTCAAGGCTTCGGGTGGTTCTTTCTCTGGTTTTCTTACAACACATTCTCTGTTCAAGTATTTGATTGAATGCTTAAGAGAGATCTGTACATTCTGAAGTTTTCTCTGTGTAACTGCCTCCCGTCCAGTATTTTACCTTGTAAATTCTAACCACCTTGGTCTTCCTGAATCCTCAGCTTTGGCTCCTCAACTGAAGATTTCCCCTGTGTGTCACGTCCTGGAAATGGGTGGATCAGAGGGTTCACTTCATTTGTTTCCCATCTTAAGAATCATTTTCTTTGTTTTTCAATTTCATATTTCTTGAGAATCTTGTATGTTTTTTCTCTTTTTAAAATTTAAAGGAGGGTAAATATGGTCCCTTTTGAGACATTGTGCTCTGCAAGGTCCACTGCAATGACGCAATTACTTTGTGCCAAAGAAGAAAGCATGTTGGGAATGCAAAATATTCTGAACCGAATGAAAACAATAATATGAATTATCAGAACTTGTGAGATTTAGCTAAAATAGTGTTAAAGGGAATTCATAACTTTAAATGAATATAAGAAATAAATGTTCAAAATGAGGGTTCTCCTCTGTGTTTATATTGCTTTGTAAAATGAGTTGTTCAGTATTTTATCTTTCTCTTTTCTCCTGAATTGTTTATGAGTCAGTATTGTTTCTTTCTTAAATATTTGATGTTATTCATAGTTTTATCTTTGTGAAAGTTTTAAAATGCGAATTTATTTATTTTTCCTTTTCTGAGACAGGATTTCATTCTTTAGCTCAGGATGGAGTGCTATAATATGATCACAGCTCTCTGCAGCCTTGAACTTTTCCTGGGCTTAAACAACCCTTCCCTCTCAGCCTACTGAATAGCTAGAACTATAGATGCATGTCACCATGCTGAACTGTTTATTTACTTTTCACAGAGTCTTGCTCTGTCACCCAGGCTGGAGTGCAGTGGTGCTATCTCAGCTCACTGCAACCTCCGCCTCCCAGGTTCAAATGATTCTCCTGCCTCAGCCTCCTGAGTACCTGAGGTTATAGGCGCCCACCTCCACAGCAGGCTAATATTTGTATTTTTAGTAGAGACGGGGTTTCACCATGCTGGCCAGGCTGGTCTTGAACTCCTGACCTCCAGTGTTCTGCCTACCTTGACCTCCCAAAGTGCTGGTTTTACATGTGTGAGCCACTGCATCTGGCCATTTTAAAATTTTTCTTTACAGAGGCAGGGTTTCAGTATGTTGCCTAGGCTTGTTTCAAACTTCTGGGCTCAATCAGTCTTCCTGCCTCAGCCTCCCAAAGCATTGGGATTACAGTCATGAGCACTGGGCCTGGCCTCACTTTTGTTTTCTTATGAAACATAGTATATTAAAGTTCACAAATAGCATGTATATTTCATTGAATTTTTACAGCTGCTACCTAGATGACGATATAGAACATGAAAGATTTAGATTTTACTTAATAGTTTCAGTAGACAATTTAGATTTTTTATTTTCATTTTTTTGGAAAGTTTTACCTAATTTTCTCTTTTTAGGGATTTGTTCATTTTATTTAAAATTTCTAGTTTATTTGGATAATGATACTGTTGTTTTGTAATGTCTTTTTACAGTATTTTAATGTTTGTAGGACCTATAGTTACATACTCTTTTTCATTCCTGACATTGGTTATTTATGCCTTATCTTTTTTTTTTTTTTTTTTTTAATTAGAGCTAGGGATCTTGCTATGTTGCCCAAGCTGGATTAGAACTCCTGGGCTTAAGTGATCCTCCCTAGGCTAAGTAGTAGCTGGGACTACTGCTCATGAGGCACATGTCACTGTGCCTGCTATGCCTTGTCTTTTTCATTGATTCATTTTGTCAGGGTTTATCAAAGTTTTGGTCTTTCAGAAAACAAGTTTGGCTTTGTTGGTCCTCTCACTTGCTTGTTTTTAGTTTCACTTTTTTTTCTTAATTTTATTTTTCACATATTCTTTATTTTTATATTATTATTTTTTTTCTAATCCTTGAGATGGATGCTTCCAAACAACAGAGACTTTGTAGGTGTTAGGGTTTTTTTCAGGTAGGGCCTTTCCATGCAGCAAGCTTGGCCCAGGCCTTCCACATAAGAAGTGGAATTTGTTTACTTGATTTGAAAATAAAGTGAGTTAATCAGACTTAAGACTTACCTGTCTTACTGGGTTTTCTGTTTGAGAACTTGAGGTTTCAAGGTCTAGTTACTACTTCGTATTTGTTTGTCTTTAAGTAAAATAAGATATGAGTCCTTAGGTTTTAACTGCAACACAGCCAAGCTTCATTAAAAAAAATTAGTTTTCTCTTCTGTTTTCTGGGATAACTTGATTAAGCAAAAATGATCTGTTTCTTCAAATTTAGATCATTTGTAAAACATGGTTGAGGCTGCTTTGTTGGGAATGTCTGTGATTACCACTTTATTTAATGATGATCTGTTACATTTTTTGTATTTCTTTTGCCAGTTTTGACATTTTATAATTTCCTTGAAACATCTATTCTTAATTTGTGTATAGTTAACTATATGGTCTTTCTCATTGTTGTTACTCTTTTTTTATTACTCATTTTTACCTTTTTAAATTATCTGTGTTGTTAGAGGTATTTTTTTGTCATTAGCATTTTCAAAGAACCAGCAGTCTATGCTGGTTCACTATTTTCTTTTTCCTGTTTTTTTTGTTTGTTTGTTTTTTGTTTTTTTTTTTTTGAGATGGAGTCTTGCTCTGTGTCCCAGGCCAGGGTGCAGTGGCTCGATCTCAGCTCACTGCAGCCACTGCCTTGTAGGTTCAAGCGATTCTCCTGCCTCAGCCTCCCAAGTAGCTGAGACTACAGGTGCGTGCCACCATGCCTGGATGATTTTTGTATTTTTAGTAGAGACGGGGTTTGACCATGTTAGACAGGATGGTCTCGATCTCCTGACCTTGTGATCTGCCTGCCTCCACCTACTAAAGTGCTGGTATTACAGGCGTGAACCACTGCGCTTGGCCCTCTTCCCTATCTTTTAAAATAATTTTCTTCTTAATGTTTTGGAAGAATTATTTTTAAGCTCAAAGGCATTATGTACATAGAAGTTAAAATAGTTCCATAACTTCCACAAAAAAAAAAAAAAAAAACAGTAAAGCCCACTCTTTCTCCTCCAAGTCCAACTTCTTAGTCTTAGTTATTTCTTCTGGATATTTCGACTCCATATTTCAAAATAATGTTTATATGACAGTTTCCTGATTTTTTTTCAGTCTTTGCTATTACTTACTGGTTTTCTACTATGGAAGTTTAGACTATTTGTCATATAGTTGCTAGTTTGCACCACAACACATAAACTTCCATTTTTTAGTACATCATATTAATTTTCAGTAGGATTAGTATTTAGTGTTCACAGTATTTTTACAACTGTTTCAGTAGTCACAGCCATGTAAAGTACTAATGGTTAAATTTTCTTTATGTACAGCTCTTAGTTTTCTCCTGATTTAATCTTGGTTTTTCCATTTTTGACTTTCTGTGCACCTATGACTAATTCATCGCCAGTTTTCTGTGACAAAAGTTTTAAGTATAAATGTCTTAGTATAGTAGACCCGTTAAGTAATTTATCATTTTCAGCTTTTTCTGAAACTGTCTCTGCTCTTTTTTTTTCTTCTATCTATCCTTAGAGCTATCAAATAGTTTTTGTCATGTACTCTTCCTGTATCACAGGGAGTCCCTTTGCTTTTCTCCTGAATTGCATCTCATGTTTCTTGGATCTTAAATCTTCCTTTTTTCTTGGCCTCTCCTTTTTTGGTGGAACTCATCATTTAATAGCTTTCTGAGAATTTAAGACCTTAAATGTTTAAAAATATCATGGTTTTACCCTCAGGATGAGTAATTTGGGTGAGTATAGAATTCTATTTGAAATTATTTTCCTTTAGTTAAAGTAACATATTTTTTCATATGAAGCCTCTGTTTTAGTCAGGCATATTTTTCCTTAGACTTTTAAAAATGTTGCTTTCCTTTATTGTAGCTCCTCCTCTTGAGAATACTGTTTTGAGTCCTTGATCCTTTGTGACTGTTTTTTCCTCTTTGCAGGCTTTTAGGATATTGTCATCTGTCTTTAGTGATCTAAATTTTTATTATATTTTTTGATGTTAGGTTCATCTAACCCCTTTCATAAATATTTCTTCTTACAATTTCTGTTTTCTACAAGTACCTTTTTTACTTACTTTGCTCATTACCTGGCCTTTTTTCTTGTGTCTAATGATCCTTAGCTGTCTCCTCTCGTTTGAAAGTGGGAAACTAAAACACATGGGGAGCTCCATATGCCTAGTAAAATTTGTAGACTGGTAGATTTCACTGGTGTCATTTACTCCATTTCATTGTTGATACCCAGCTGTTAACATCTGTAGATTTCTTTTCTCTCTGCCTGGTAAGTATTTCTGGCAAAGATACCTCTCTCGCTTGGCGATTCGATTCTAACGGAGATTGTTTTCAATTTTAGTCACATGTTGCAAAGGGGAAAGTGCAGTTTGAATGCTCCTACTTAATATCTCTGGTTTTCATGTATTGCCCTTAACTTCACCTGTGTCTTCTGCCACTAATTTCACAGTCTTTATGTTTCAGAAACTCAAGAGAGTAAATATCTAATCTTCTGATGGGTTTAGGAGGGGCTCTTTGGTTTTACTACCTTCTTTTTTTTTTTTTTTTTGAGATGGGGTCTCGCTTTGCTGCCTAGGCTGGAGTGCAGTGGCACAATCTCGGCTCACTGCAACCTCCACCTCCCAGTTTCAAGCAATTCTCCTGTCTCAGCCTCCTGAGTACCTGGGACTACAGGTACCTGCCACCACTCCTGGCTAACTTTTGTATTTTTAGTAGAGGTGGAGTTTCACTGTATTGGTTAGACTGACCTCAAACTCCTGACCTCAGGTGATCTGCCTCCCCTCAGCATCCCAAAGTGCTGGGATTACAGACGTGAGCCACTGCACTCACCTGGTTTTCCTACCTCTATATACACTTTTTTCTTTTCTGTGACACAAGACACATTCAACTATACACACTTTTAACACCCTCTGTTTGCATGCCCCTTCTTTTTTTTGAGACAAGGTCTTGCTCTATTGCTGGAGTGCAGTGGCGTGCTCATAGCCCACTGCAACCTCAAACGTCTGGGCTCAAGTGATCCTTCTACCTCAGCCTCCTGAGTAGGTAGGACCACAAGCATGCACCACCACTCTTGCCTAATTTTTTGTTTTGCATAGAGATGTGGTCTTGCTAAATTTCCCAGCTTGGTCTTGAATTCTTGACGTCAAGTGATCCTTTTGCCTTGGCCTCCAAAAGTGCTGGGATTACATGTGTGAGCCACTGCATCTGGCTTGCACCATTTTTTAGAGGTGTCTTACACTTCTACTAATCTTTATAAGTTTCTCCATGATTCAGCTATCACCCCCTGGGCCCCACCCACAACACAAGGAAATTCTGGGAGATACAATTCAAGTTGAGATTCGGGTGGGAACACTGCCATACCATATCAGTCTGTTTTTTATTTATTTTTCTACTGGTAGATCTGTGCTGATACTGTGTTCACATTTCTGCTGCTACAGAGAGCAGAAGGGGACCTCTGTGACAGGTCCCACTGCCATCCACATTTGGTGCTTCACTAGAAGGACTCGAGAGACTTGGCATGCAGTTGAACTCATGACTGATACTTATAGTCATTCAGTCAGTATACACAGCTAGGTCAGTAAGGGAAAAATTTACATTAGGTAGAGTCTGGAGGAATCCATGTATAGGCTTCCTGTGCTCCCCAAGGGGCCATATAGGGTGTACTCATTTCCTCCAGCAGTTAAATGCGTAACATATTACACACTTTTTCCTCAGAGAAGCTTTTTTAAAACTCAGATTGTTTTCACTGGGGGTTGGTCCCATATGCACCCTCTGCCTACCAAAATTTTACATACTCCCAGAAGGAGAGAAAGCAGATGCTAACCATAAATCACATTGTTTATACAAGCAGTATAGACAGGCTGGCACAGCAGGTGCAACCTTGTCTGTTGGTAATGGGGGGAATATTCTAAAAGTCAAATCTGTGAATGCCAACCAAGGGATAGCCCTGTTACCTGGCCGTTTAAATTATCAGGCCTAATATGTTAACTCTTTCCTGCAAAGAGTGAATCTGTAAATATTATAGTGTTTTACATGTCTATTTTGAACTTTACATAGATAGGATTGTTATGTACTTCTGCAGCTTACTTTTTTTTCTGATTAAAATGATCATATATTTTATTGTAGTTTGTTTCACTATTTTATATGTAATATGATATATCTTTACCACAATTTATTTATTCAGTAAGTTTATTCAGTCTTCTGTCCACATAGTTTTTGGCTGTTTAGAGCAATATTGTTTCTGTGATAGGTTGTATGAAATTTCAGCCTTACGGAATAATGCCAAATTGCTTTCTAAAGTAACTATTACTTTAGAAATAAAATAAAAAGTAGTATAAAACTCTTAACAGCCGGCTTGTTGTTTTAGAATGCTGGTTTTCTCCCCATTTTAAAAACAAATATATTTCATCAGAAATGGTAAGTTAATAAAATAGTTCTAATGTTGTATTTCTTCTGTGCTCTGTGCCAGAAATCACATCCAAAGTCAGTTCCAGTTTCTTCAAGGAAGAAAGAAGCATCTCTGCAGTTTATTGTAGAACCAAGTGAAGTCACCAACAGATCAGGTTGGTGGCATCTCCATGGGCATTATTTGCTTGGATATATTTAAAAAGTGAGAAATGCTAATGGTACATGTGTTTTTTTGAGAGTGAAGGTCAGGTTCAGGTTAGATAGAATTGTGAATTGTGAAATGGATGAATATTTTTTGATTTCCTTACAACTCCATGGTCGGTGCTCTTTTTCTATCTTCTCCATTTCCTTTAGTCTGTGATACGTGCTATTACTTTTAAATTTTTCTTTATTTTCATTTTTTGTATTAAAAGAGTGTTACTCCATTGCGTTAATAAAGGTTTAAAAGAAGAAGTTAGTCATTAGTCCTATCATTCTGCTTAGGTAGCCTTTGAATCATTCTATAACTTAATCGGTGCTCATAAATGAAAAAAAAAGGCATATGTGTTTATATGTGTCTGTGCCTGTGCATTCAGAAAAGGCAATTACAATTTCCTTTCACACCAATAACGTATGAGTATGTTTTACCTGATAGACTATTTAACTATTCTACGTTTTTGCCAGTTCATTGATAATAAGCAATCTAGTTTTTACTTTAGTGTCCATTTCCATGATTGCCAGAGATTGAGCGCCGTATGTTTATTGACTGTTGGATTTTAATTGTTAAATGGTGTAACTTTTGTTTTATAGCTTTAAGTGTCCTGTTTTAGTTCAAAGTTTGTCTTATCCCAATGATATCTGTAATAACTTAGATTTTTCATCTGAATACCTTTTTTTTTAAAAAACAATTCTAAATCATTAACCATCTGGAATGTGTTTTGGTATATAATGTGACATAACCTTCTAAGTTTATTTTCTCCCAGGTGGTCAGTTGTGTCAGATATGTTTATTGATTTAAAAAAATCTGTTTGCTTCTGCATGTACCACTTTTATCATATATTAAGTCTCACATAACATTCAACATACATTATATTTTTTGACACGGAGTTTTGCTCTTGTTACCCAAGCTGGAGTGCAATGGCATGATCTTGGCTCACTGCAACCTCTGCATCCCAGATTCAAGCAATTCTCCTGCCTCGGTCTCCTGAGTAGCTGGAATTACAGGCATATGCCACCTCACCTGGCTAATTTTCTGTATTTTTAGTAGAGGTGGGGTTTCACCGTGTTGGCCAGCTGATCTTAAACTCTTGACCTCAGGTGATCTGCCCACCTTGGCCTCCCAACACATTCAACATACTTTTGAATTTTGATACATTTGTTTTTTTCCTCTGTCAACACAATACTCTTGTTATTTATAGTAGCTTTATGGTATTTGCTGATATGGAGATAAATACCTTTACTATTCCACTGACATTCTCCAGCCTTTTTTCTTTCCATAAGGTTTTAGTTTTATCCAATTCCCGATAAAATTTTGGAATTCTAACTACAGTTGCATTTAATTTATATTTTTGTGAGAATTCACATTTTTATGTTATTTAGATTTTTTACAAAATAAATTGTGTTTATGTTTCTTAGAAGAATATTAATCTGGGGCTGAGTATGTTTGCTCATGCTGATAATCCCAACACTTTGGGAGGCTGAGGTGGGTGGATCACTTGAGGTTAGGAGTTTGAGACCAGCCTGGCCAACATGGTAAAACTCCGTCACTACTAAAAATACAAAAATTTGCTGGGTGTGGTGGCAAGTGCCTGTTATCCCAGCTACTCGGGTGGCTGAGTCAGGAGTATCGCTTGAACCCAGGAGATGGAGGTTGCAGTGAGTTGAAGATAGCACCACTGCACTCCAGCCTGGGTGACAGAATGAGACTGTCTCAAAAAAAAAAAAAGAGTATCCTGAAGGGCACTATCAAGAGTGTGAAAGGGGAACGAGACCAGGAGAAAGTATTTGCAAATAATTTACCTGATAAGAATAATAGAGATTTATATCCAGAATATACAGAGAACTTCTACAGCTCAACCACAGAAGAACCAGACAACCCAAATACAAGATGAGCAAAGAACATCAATAGACATTTCTCCAAAGAAGGTATACAATTGGCCAATGAATTTACGAAATGATGCTTGAAATCTTTAGTCGTTAGAGAAGTGCAAGTTAAGACCCTAGGGAGATACCACTTTATGCTCACTAGGTCAGCTATTATTTAAAACAAAAAAAGGAAAATAAGAGTTGTTAAAGATGTGGATAAATTAAAACCATCGTGCATCACTGGTGGGAATGTAAAATGGTGCAGCCACTGTGGAAAACAATTTGACAGTTTCTCAGAAAGTTAAACAGAATTACCATATGACCCAACACTTACCTCCTAGGTATACACCTAAAAGAATTGAAAGCCAGGACAGAAGCAGACATATGTATACTAATATTCATAGCAGTATTATTCACAATACCCAAAAGGTGTAGACAACCCAAGTGTCCGTCAACAGATGAATAGGTAAACAGCATGTGGTATATACGTAGAATAGAATTATTAGTCATGAAAAACAAAGTTCTGCTATATACCATAGCATAGAAGAATCTTGAGCACATTAAAACTTGCTAACTGAAATAAACCAGACAAAAAAAAGGGCAAAAATTTTGTAGTTGCACTTACATGAGGTATTTAAAATAGGTAAAATTTAGAGACAGGAAATAGAATAGAGGTTGCAGGGGATTGCAGTAGGGGGTAATGGTGAGTTAATATTTGATGTGTACAGAATTTGAGATGATAAAAAAAGTTCTGGAAACGGCGATGGTTGCACATTGTTGTGAATGTACTTAATTCCACAAAATTGTACACTCAAAAACTGTTAGTATGTTAAACTTTCTTTTGCCATTAAAAAATGTTTTAGCAAAGTCTATCTCCTGGCTTCCCATTCTGTCCTCCCTCATAGTATTGGGTCTTTGACTTTCTAGTCAAGGTTAATCCTAACTATACTATAATTTTTGTACTATTCTGAATAACATTTTTTTAAATTATGAGGATAGTTTTTGTATCAAGAAAATTTTATCCCAACACCGAGGTTTAAAAAAAAAAATTCTAGACCTTTAAAAATGTGAATCTTTCAGTTTTCTTTAAGCCATGTAATCATGTCATCAGCTAAAGAGGTTTTATCTGTTATGTTTAATCTTATTATTTCAGTCTGCTTGTCTTCGATAGAATCTGAGTCAGTGTTGTCTAATAATGATGATAGTAGTTATCCATGTCTATTCTATGATTTTAAACGAAATTATATTAGTACTGTGACACTTAATAATTGTGGGTAGTTTGGGGTAAATGTAGTTTATGTCTTTTATTTCTTTTTTTTACCATCATTAGCTAGCACTTGAGTACTGTGTTAAATAACAGTGATGGGTCCAAGCACCATAGCTTAGACCTATAGTTCCAGCACTTTGGGAATCTGAGGTAGGAGTATCACTTGAGGTCAGATGTTTGAGATCAGCCTAGGCAATGTAGTGAGAACTTGTCTCTACAAAAAAACCCACAAAAATTTAGCCTGTGCAGTGACACATGCTTGTAGTCCTGCCTTCTTGGGAGGCTGAGGCTGGAGAATCACTGGAGCCCAAAAGGTTGAGGATGCAGTGAGCTGTGATAATGCCACTGCACTCCAGCCTGGGTACAGAGTCAGACCCTGTCTCAAAAAAAAAAAAAAAGATGGGATGAAAATTCTAGCCTTGTTCCTGCTCTTAGAAAGCATTCAGCCTTTCACATTAAGTATATGATGTTAACTGTAAGCTGTAAGTTTTTAATAGGTGTTTTTTAGGGTTTGGAGATTTTCTATTTGCCAGTATGCTGAGATTTTTTAAAATCATGAGTAATGTGAATTTTGTCAGATGTATTTTTTGCATAAATCCATATGATTTTTCTTCTTTAATGTATTGATATGATGGCTTATACAGATTGATTTTTGAATATTTAACCAGCCTTGCATAAAGTTCCCATGTGGTCATGGTATACTGTTGATTTGAGGCCTTTCTCCTTTTCAAATGTATTCATTTGGCACAAATTTCCCCCTTAGCACTGTTGTAGCTGCATTCTACAGGTTTTGATGTGTTGTGTTTTCTGTTCATTTCACTTATTTTGGTGTATTTTTAAATATCCTTTCAGACTTTAACCTATTTGGTTTTTTTTTTAAGTGTGTTAATTTTCTAATGTTTGCCACTTTCATATTATTTTTTCCTTAATTTCTGATTTTGATTCCTTTGTGACACAGTATACACGGTGTAATTTCAGTTTTTTTACATTTATGAAAATTTGTTTTATGACCCCAAGATATTGCCTGTCTTTATGAATGATTCATGGGTACCTGAAAAAAAAATGTATTCTGTTGTTGAGTGTAGTTATCTAAAAATGTCAGTGATTCTTCATTATTACTATTTTTTCTACATTGTTGGATGTGATTTTTTAAAATTTTGTTTAGGATTTTTGTATTTAAGGAGAGGTTGGTTTCTACTTTTTTTTTAAATGCTGTGTTTGTATGGTTTTGGTATCAAATAATATTTGCCTTATTAAATAAGTTGGAAATTATTCCCTTTTCTAATTTTTGGAAGGGACTCTGTTAAAATGGTGTTAATTCTTTAACTATTTGGTTTAACATTCTCCAATGAAATCATCTGGTTCCGGAGATTTTTTTTTTCCATGAAGTTTTAAGTAACAAAATTAATTCTTTAATAGTTACAGGACTATTTCGGTTATTATTTTCGTTGTTGGCAGATTTTGGTAGTTTGTGTTTTCTGAGGTTTTGGTTCATTTTTTATAATCATCTGTCAAGTTGATAGGCATAAAGTTGTTCATAGCATTACCCTACTTATTTATGTATTTATTTTTTTAACTTTAAGTTCTGGGATACATATGCTGAACATGTAGGTTTATATAGGTATACCTGTGCCATAGTGGTTTGCTGCACTTGTCAACCTGTCATCTAGGCTTTATGCCCCAGATGCACTAGGTATTTGCCCTAATGCTGTCTCTTACTTTTTTCCCTTCCCCTAACAGGTCCTGGTATGTGATGTTCCCCTTCCTGTGTCCATATGTTCTCATTTTTCTACTTCCACTTATGAGTGAGAACACATGGTGTTT